AACCAAATTTTTGTAGATTGTACAGATTCACCTATTTGAAAACCTATAGAAATCATCAAAAATCTGAATTATTGAAATCAGAATTGAGCTCAGGTGAAGACTTTTATCGGATTCGTCAATAAATATGGACGATTTACATATTCTTAGTCACAACAAAATACTAAGCCTAAAAATGTATAGTCTAATACTAGATTTTCAAAAAAATGCACCGAGATCAACTTGAACAACTAGAATTCCCGCGATCAGAAACATTTTGGAGATGTCTAATTTAAATACCTATTATAAATAATAAAAGTTTAAAAGAGACTCAGGAATAATCTTAAAAAAACATTATTCAATATTCGAAGGTTGAATTTAACTGTAAAATTGAATATTTGTTTTTTTTTCGTTGATATCAAATCTGATGAAACTTGTTCGCAATAAATTCTATCGAGATCTATCTTTTATGATAAACTTATTCAATTCTATCATTTGAATAAAGACAAAATTCGAATATGTCATAACTTTAACTTGCATGAACTATTTATCTTTGAATAAAGTTTTCGTTAGATTGGATTTAATCTATTGAGAACGAGACATAAATTATTCATCTTTTACACTATCATCTATATATTAAGAGCGTGTCTAGGAACTATCGAGCTCAGAACTGGATCCGTTGGGATGTGTCTGGGTATCTGAGTATTTGCAATCAGCTAGTCGGACACACATCCATCCACAGGCACACCTACACCCACAGCCACGTTCGCAACCTTATTCTTTTTGGCAAATTGACTTCAGAAACATGAGAACATGATCTTTATTTCTCATCCAATGAAATTACTAGAGATACCATATTTATAGTCTTACCTACGTATCAGAAGTCAAAGATGAAATGGAGGAAAGGCGTAGAACACTGATCATGTAAACTATGGACAAATTCTACGACAGAGAACAATAAAAATAATAAATGCATATGTGATGAATATAAGAAAGTCAGTTCGATAGGGCGTTGACTCAACAATAATTATGACTCTATGAAAAATTTTTGTGATTAAAAAACGAAATCAGCGCATTCATCAAAATATGAAAAGTGATATTTTCCTTGATTATCGCATTCAGTTGTTCAACGAATTATTTCTAAGTCGATAAGAGGACATTTTATAGCTGATGGAAAGCATTTCTCGTCATTGCGTGCATCCATTCTTCTCTTGAATAGAACACTTTCTTAAATGTTTCGAAAACAATGGGAATGGTCCTTTCAAGTAATGAATATATTTCAGACGACTCATTATCGTTTTTAGAAAGAAAAGAACGTGTTTTCTATCTTTTTTCAAATAATTCGGTACATTCTCGTGTATTAAAATTCAATTTTAGTAAATTAACAGTAAAAGGTAACTGAAGGAAGACGAAAATATTCTTTTTTCAGAAGAGAATCCATAGAAGAACAAGAATGTAATATAAAACACTTGTGAAACAACTTGTAGTATTAGTTAAATGGTCTCAAAAGTTTCTTTTTAGATGAATATTTTCTCAACGAAAAAAGTTCGTTTTCTTATTTTTTTTTTTTTTTGGAATATTATCGTTTATATCATTTGAGGTAAGATGAATGATATGTTTATCTTTTTATCCTTTACGTTATTTTTCATATAAATATTCTTTTAAAGTCAGTAGTATTTTTATTTTTACCTTACAACGAATAAATTCAAAGCCTAGTCAGAATCTTTTGTCTTTAAAATATACATCAGAGTATGTATTTTTAAATTAAAGATTGAATGAACAGTAAGGTGTTCCATTTATTGTCTGCTGTTTTTTTTTAATTCAACTACTTCGAACAGAGTCTCACGTTCGAATCTATTAGAAAGCAGAGAAGTAAAACTACATAAGAGAAAAATATCTCGATTAAGGATAGAAGAAAGATATTCCGAGTGGTCTAGAGACGAACGCAAGAAAGAAAGAGTTCCATATAATTTGAAATTGTTTTTGTTTTCCATAATTTCGTAGGAAAGTGATATCCGTTATTCATTATTTTGAATAGGATCAATCAAAGACGTGCTCTGAAAAGTTGAAAGTTGTTTTTGTACGAAAAGAAAATGTCCCTTAAGAGTGTGAAAAGCATTTTTGGTTATTCTATTCAACAAACAGTTTTCATTGAATAGTTCGTCCGACAAAAGGAAGCTCGTCATGGGTATCGATTTCATTTCTATCTCAATCCTTTGTCAAGAATATTTCGACTACATACTTGCTACGTTTATGATATTTAGAGCATTCCTTTTGAACTTAGGAATCATCTTAACAAGTTACTTATCAGAACAAGATAATCAAAGCTATGCGTAGCAATAATATGTCGATAAAGATAACTTTCAACTCTCTTGAATATGACGTATTCAAGGCGCCCTGTTTGTTGATCGAATGATTCTTTTTTTTTTTTACTTATGCAGTATACTGATACTATAAATTTGTTGTTTTTCTTTTTCTTTCTACCTCAATTTCTATTCGCCTTTATAAATTTGTGTCAACTAAGCGTCCTATTGAGAGGACGTAGGACTTCGTTCTAACAAATTCCGCAGGCGGCATCCTTTTTCACATTACTTTTTTGCTGAAATCGTGACAAGCTCTGTGATGTTTGATTGATACGGATTGCTTACAGCAACAACAACTCACTCTATATTGAAAGTAATCGAATGATGATGGTCAAACAGAATAAAACAAGCCATATTTGTGAAAGAGAATATATTTCAAATGGATTACAGGCCAATGCATTCAATTGGGGTGGGGGAGAGAGAAGGGAGCAAGTAGAGACTTTTCTCCATCGATTTTTTTCCGTTCTAGTGTTTTCTCTGGAAATCTTCTTTGCATGCTATTAGTGGATTTTAACCTTTTGTTGGGCTGAATAATCTATGTAAAATCAGATGATCTATTTTCGCTCACGCAGAAATTTTTCTCTCAATATTCTAAGGGACATCACTTAATGGATCCCGAAACCACTCAATCTTCTGCATAGTTGAACTGAAATAATTTATTTTCTCTTTCAAATTAGATTATTTTCTTTTTTAAAGTCATAAATTAGCTCTTTCGATTCGAAGAGTGTGAATGTGGATGTGCGTGTACGTATTGGTTTTCTTTCAACCCATATACACATCCTTCGATTAATTAATATATGAAATAAATTCCTTCACCAAATGATTATATTACATTAAGGATATTGAAAAACAAGCTAAAAATCTTTT